TGGGACAATTTAGCACGGCCAATCCACCCTAACCTGCACATCCCTGGACACTATGAGACAATATAGCACAGCCAATCCACCCTAGCCTGTGCATCTTTGGACTGTGGGAGGAAACCTGAGCTCCTGGATGAAACCCACGCAGACACAGGGGAGAATGTGCAAACTCCGCACAGACGGTCGCCCTAGGGTGGAATCGAACCCGGGTCCCTGAAGTGGCAGTGCTAATGGCTAAGGCACCGTCAGCAGTACTGAGCGAGCTTCCTTGAGTGAGGTCCCAGCACGGAGATCCCATGGCATTATCTGAAAAACCACTGGAAGCTTTGTTAGTCCATCTATTCACCCATAATGATAAAAGTCAGTGCTGTTCATTGCTGCGATAAATAATCTGTAGGAATTTGCTACACTCGATCAGTGCTTGCATTTGAAATGCAATTCATTGGCTTTGAGTTGCTTTGGGACACTTTGTGACCTCCAGAGCGACAATAACGATGGAAGTGAGTCATATCATTGATTTAATGCTTTGAATCTCTCTCTCTCTCTTAATTCCTCTCAGATCTTGAATGGATCCCGATGAAAGTGCGAACCGCAGTTTCAACTTATTTCAATTATTCCTACACATTCGGCCAACTGATCCTGGTTGGCATTGCGTTTGCAATCCAACATTGGCGCTGGCTTCAGTTCACTTTGGCCACTCCGTTTTATATCTTCTTCCTGTCCTCATGGTAAAGTTGGGCACTAGTGACAGGAGTGGATGAAGGGTCGGAAAGAGTCGGGGGGTGGGGTTGCGGGTGGTGGTGGGTACGAGGGAAGTCAGGAGTTATGAAGATGCCTTGTGAGGGCAACATTAAAGATCAATGCAGCACAGGAACAGGCCCTTCGGCCATCCAAGCCTATGCTGACACATTTTGCCCTTCCATAATAAAACTGTCTTCACTTACAGGATCCCTATCCCACTATTTCGTTCTTATTCATGTATTTGTCCAGGTGTTTCTTGAATGCAGCTATTGTGTCTGCTTCCACCACCTCCTCTGGCAGCGCGTTCCAGGCACTGACCTCCCTTTGTGTGAAAAACCTGCCTCACGCATCTCTTTTAAACTCCCCCCCACCTCGCACCTTAAACCTGCGTCCCCTAGTAACTGACCCCTCCACCCTGGGGAAAAACCTTCATAGTTCCCACTCCATCCACGCCATTCCAATCTTATAAACTTCTATCAGGTCGCCCCCCTCAACCCCTTGCGTTCCAGTGAAAACGAACCCAGTTTATCCAACCATTCTTCATAGCTACAATAAGATTTGAATTCAACAAAAAATCTGGAATTAAGAGTCCAATGATAGCCATGAATCCATTGTTGGGGAAAAACCCATCTGGTTCACTGACGTCCTTTAGGGAAGGAAGCTGCCATCCTTACCTGGTCTGGCCTACATGTGACTCCAGGCCCCCAGCGATGTGATAGGAATGGGATCGAACAGCCAGCGACACCCTCGTCCTGTGAGTGACGTTAAAAAGGGGACAGAGGAGGGAGAAAGAGGGAGGCTTATTGCATTGTTGTCGAACAATTGATGTCGCCCTGATGGATTGTTGGAGTTTTCACTAAAGGTGTTGCTGTTGTGGTCACACACACACAGGTGGTTCCCAGAGTCAGCGCGTTGGCTCATTCTGCAAAACAAGGCTGACGTGGCTCTGAAACATCTCAAATGGGTGGCAAAGCTGAACAACAAGGAGGAAGAGGGCAAAACGCTCACCACAGCTGTAAGTGTTGACTCTAAAATTTAGTTTTTGTATTGCCGTTCCCCCACCAGACCACACGCAACTGCCGTTTGGGGGCTCAGAGACGTACAGCGCGGGAACAGACCCTTCGGCCCAACTCGTCCATGCTGACCATATACCCTAAATTAATCTAATCCCGTTTGCCAACATTTGGCCCCTAAACCCTTCCTATTCGTGTGCCCATCCAGATGCCTTTTAAATGTTATAATTGTACCAGCCTCCACCACTTCCTCTGGCAGCTCGTTCCACACACGCACCACCCTCTGTGTGAAAAAGTTACCCCTCAGGTCCATTTTAAATCTTTCATCTCTCACCTTAAACCTAAGCCCCTCTAAGTTTTGGACTCCCCCAATCTGGGGAAAAGGACCTTGTCTATTCACCCTATCCATGCCCCTCATGATTTTATTAACCTCTATAAGGTCACCCCTTCCAACGCTCCAGGGAAAATAGCCCCAGCCCTATTCAGCCTCTCCCTATAGCTCAAACCCTTCAACCCCAGCAACCGATATCATGGAAGCTGATAATTTGGTTGGATCCATGTTGCCTGCTTATGGGATCTTTCTGTGTTAGTATTTCTACCTGGCAACAGCAACGACGCATTACAGCACTTTGGGGCCTGTTAAGGGAGTGAGAGAAGCAAGAGGAAGTCTAATCGTTATACACGAAAGCAATTGTGGGTGGAGTGATTGTAATGAGGTCAGCCGGGTGGCCCTCACAGAACATGAGTTTCTTGATTGGGGCTATTAACCCGGTCCAATCAGGGAGCCCTGGCTGACAGATATAAACTGTCAGGGGTTCTGCTCACTTAGAGAGCTGGCTCAGTGTCAAGAACTCGCCACATGTGAATAAAGGGTGACCTGGTGACAAAATAAGGGCCTTTCTGAAGTTATTTCAGTGCAACACGTTGTTTTCTGTCGAGCACCTCTGCTTGTAAAGTCAAATTAAACATCCATCTCTTGCCCGTGGTGAGAGGTGCGCAGTCTCAAACTCTTTGTTACCACTTGACTGAAATGCTGTGGCAGAATAATGGAACATTCGGTTGGTATCACTGTGGCTGTGACATTATCACAGGCTGTTAGTTTCCGTTTTACACAGAATCAAATCGATGGCTCGGTTAAATTATCAGCAAGAGGAGTCCTGTAGTGTCTCAAAGACTCTCCACCCTCAGCTTTCCCATCTCACTCTAACCAGTCTTTTAAAACCTAAAACCATTACAGTGTGTAATTATTTGACTTTCAAGTGCTTTGTAATATTCTGTGGAAATGATAAGATGTTTAATGTACTCATTGATGCTTGAGAGCGTATAAAATGTGGTAAGGTGTAGACTGTATAGCAGCCCCGACGAGCCTGCAATGCCATTCCAACAGATCGTAGAGTCCCTACAGTGCAGAAAGACACCATTCGGCCCATCGAGTCTGTGCCAACCCCCCCAAAGAGCATTCCTACCCAAACCCTCCCCTTCCCCCTACCGCATCCCAAAACAAGCCCAGCTTGTCCCCGCCTCCCTAACCTGTCCTTCCTCCCACCTATCCCCTCCTCCCACCTCAAGCCCCACCCCCATCTCCTACCTACTAACCTCATCCTGCCCCCTTGACCTGTCCGTCATCCCTGGACTGACCTATCTCCTCCCTAACTGCCCACCTACACTCACCTTTACTGGCTCCATCCCCGCCTCTTTGACCTGTCTGTCTCCTCTCCACCTATCTTCTCTTCTATCCGCCTCCCCCTCTCTCCCTATTTATTTCAGAACACCCTTCCCCTCCCCCATTTCTGAAAAAGGGTCTAGGCCCGAAACGTCAGCCTTCCTGCTCCTCTGATACTGCTTGGCCTGTTGTGTTCATCCAGCTCTACACCTTGTTATCTCAGATTCTCCAGCATCTGCAGTTCCTACTATCTCAAGTACTTATCCAAATGTCTTTTAAATGTACCCACATCCACCACTTCCTCTGGAAGCTCATTCCACATGCTCTGTGTAAAATAAAGTTGCCCCCATGTCTTTTTTTAAATCTCTCTCCTCTCACTGTAAGTGCCCCCTAGTCTTGAAATCTGCCATTCAGCCTATTTATACCCCTCATTATTGTATGAACCTCTAGATGGTCTCATCTCAACCACCTACGCTCTAGCAAAAAAACTCCCAGCCTTTCTTTATAATTCCCGGGCTCATCAAGTACCTTTTCCAGTTAAGAGAAGCCACTCCTGCTCTTCAATCCTCAATAAAACTGGGTCATGGGTTGATCATGAGCCTGGATGCTCTTCGGAGGGTTGGCGCAGACTCGATGGGCCGAATGGTGTCTTTCTGCACTGTAGGGATTCTACGATCTGTTGGAATGGCATTGCAGGCTTGTGGGCGGGGGGCGTGTTATACAGTCTACCCCTTACCACGTTTTATATGCTGTTAAGCATAAAAGCAATGAATGGAAACATGCTCTGATACTGATGTATCATATCATTTTGTGTGTTCCCAAAGATCCTCAAGTCCACTATGGAGAAGGAACTGTCGAACATCAAGGGAAAATACAGTGTGCTTGATCTGTTCAAAACACCCATAATGTGCAAGATAGCCTGCTGTACAATGCTTGTCTGGTAAGTTATCAAATAACGGCGTATGGCACGCTCGCCTTTATTGGTCAGGGAATTGAGTACAAGAGTCAGGATGTCACTGTTGCAGCTTTATAAGACTTTGGTTAGGCCGCACTTAGAGTATTGCGTTCAATTCTGGTTGCCACATTACAGGAAGGATGTGGAGGCTTTGGAGAGGGGGCGGAAGAGGATTTACCAGGATGCTGCCAGGATTCGAGGGTATGAGCCATAGGGAGAGGCTGGAAAACTCAAGTTGTTTTCTCTGGAGTGTCGGACCCCGAGGGGAGACCTGATAGAAGTCTATAAAATTATGAGAGACACAGATAGGGTTGATGGTCAGAATCTTTTTCCCAGAGTTGAAATGTCTAATACTAGAGGACATGCATTTAAGGTGAGAGGGGGAAAGTTCAAAGGAGATGTGAGGGACAAGTTTTTTACACAGAGAGCAGTAGGAGTCTGGAACATGCTGCCAGGAGATGGTGGTGGAGGCAGATATGATAGGGGCGTTTGAGGGGCTTTTAGATAAGCACATGAATATGTAAGGAATGGAAGGATATGGAATAAGGGCAGACAGAAGGGGTTAGTTTAATTAGGCATCACGTTCAGCACAGCATTGTGGAGCAAAGGGCCTGTTGCTGAGCTGTATTTTCTATGATCAATGTACTTATAGGATCTGAACTGGGTAACAGGATATAATTTTTATGGGACACAGTGTAACAATGCTGTCACTTTGAGAGGTTATTTTGTCCTGGTTTTTTTTTGAAGAGGGGTTGTAAGGCAGAGGTGTTGATCTGCCTACTGAAGACCACTTGAGTAAACAGCTTGGGAGGCCTTGGGATTTGTTTTTTAAACAGTCTGAGTGGGTGTGGCCAACTTTCCCAGATCAGGATTTCTGAGTAGCATCAGAAGCTATTGGGGTCTCAACAGAGTTGGAATCCTTAATGAATGACTCCAGGCTGCTACTTTCTCTGAATTTTCTCTTGATGTTTTTTTCCTCCTGGATTGGAGAACTGCATGTGAGAATCTGTATCTGAGTTTTTGCCAAGGTGTGTGTGCTTATGGGCTGTTACTTTATTGCAACAGTTAATCAGTAATAGTTACTGTATCTATTATTCTGTTAAGCTTTCCAATACAGTTAAATTATTCTAAATTCCTTTCTCTTTGGTAGTATTTTCACTGCAGTGTTCACATAAATTGTCTTTTGCTTAACGTCGAGTAGTTTGATGGTCGTTTTGCATCTGGAAACAAACTCTTTACATTCTGCCTTTGAAAATAAGAAGAAGTTAGGGTCTAGGCTACCTCCTGAAAATATTTTGAGGGGGTCTAATCTGGTTCATAACAACAGGAACGTTGGGATAGGTGTTGATGGTGTGAAGTTATAATAGGGACATAGGGATGGCAGGCCAATTAAATACAGGCTTTGGTTCTTATATAGACATAGAAAGGAGGACATAATAAGCATCCCAAAAACTGTTAGGGAATACAGGGATAGTGGGAACTGCCGATGCTGGAGAATCTGAGATAACAAGGTGTAGAGCTGGATGAACACAGCAGGCCAAGCAGCATCAGAGGAACAGGAAAGCTGATGTTTCGGGCCTAGAGTTATGATGGGAGTAGAGGTTCTCCTCTAATAATTACCCCCAAAACACCTAGAGAAGCTCACACTTCCCCTCATAATCTATTAAGAGTGGTTAAAAAAAAAAGAAAATCCCTGATCTCCACTTTACAAGTAACTAGAAACAATTTATTTATTTAGCCTAACAACAAACAAATTAACAGAATTACTAACAAACCAACAATGTCCCCTTAGACGACTAACTACTCCCTAACTGGTCTAAATTCTACTGGAATACTGTTCAAATAAACACAAGTTCCACTTAATAAACCTGATTAAGAAGAGAACAATGAATTCTAACTTAATCTCTCCAAGTTTGCACAGACTGTCTTCCGGAATATTCTGTCATCTCCGTTCTCTTCACAAATGCCTTTCTTCCGCTAATTCTGCTGTCAGGGGACTGAGTTGGATGATGGGCCATGATCCTGTTGAACGGCAGAGCAGGCACAAGGGGCAGAATGGCCTCTTCCTGTTCCAATTGTCTATGTTTCGAGGCGAAGAAAGAGGGGGCAAGGGGACAGACTGGGGAAGGAGGTTAAAATGAGACAAAGAGCTGCAGATCGGAAACGGGAGCAGAAATTGCTGGAGAAACTCGGCAGGTTTGCCAGCATCTGTGTGGGGAGAGAGCAGAGCTCACGTTTCCAGCTCGGTATGCATTTGTAGAGCTCTTCGACAGCGCAGCTGAAAATCTTGCATCATGTTTTATTGGCAGCTGTGTGGGAGTAATGTGTAACCCTCGCCTAACAGTGTATCTGGCTGAGTTCACTGTATGGGAATCATTCTACATTAATGATGGCCACCACAGTTCTCACCATTAAACCTGTTGGTTTCTTTTACTTATTCTAAGGATGTGGGTGCCATTATTACGGCATTTATTGCCCACGCTAATTTCCTTTGAGAAGGTAGAATTCTACCTTCTGCACTGCTGTAGACTCATCTCCTGACTCCCCCCAAAAAAAGCCTGTCTCACCATCTCCAAGGCCCAAGTCAGGAGTCTGAGGGAATACCCCCCACTTGCCCCCTGGATGGGGGCAACTCCGACGACACTCAAGAAGCTCGACACCATCCAGGACAAAGCAGCCCCCGCTTTGATTGGCACCACATCTACAAACATCCCACTCCCTCCCCCCACCGACGCTCAGTCGCAGCAGTGTGTACCATCTACAAGACGCACTGCAGCAACTCACCGAGGCTCCTTAGACAGCACCTTCTAAACCCACCACCACTTCCATCTAGAAGGACAAGGGGCAGCAGATACATGGGAACACCACCCCCTGCAAGTTCCCCTCCGAGCCACTCCCCATCCCGACTTGGAAATATATCGGCCGTTCCTTCAGTGTCGCTGGGTCAGAATCCTGGAATTCCCTCCCTAAGGGGCAATGTGGGTCTACCTACAGCACAGGGACTGCAGCGGTTCAAGAAGGCTGCTCCCCACCACCTTCTCAAGGGGGCAATTAGGGACAGAGGCAATAAATGCTGGGCCCAGCCAGCGACGCCCACATCCCACAAATGAATTTAAAAAACACCCAGGCCGTTGTTATGGAGGGGTTTCCAGGATTTTGACCCAGTGACAGTGAAGAAGTGGCTGATATACTTTCAAGTCAGGTTGGTGTATGGTTAGGAGGGTAACTTGCTGGTGTTGGGGCTATCCTTGTTCTTGCAGGCAGTGCAGGACAGAGGGTTTGGAAGATGCTGCATAGAAGCCTTGGTGAATTGCTTGTAGAGAATACACAATAGAGCCGCAACGAAATGGTGACAGAGGGGTGTAAACATGGAAGGTGATGGATTAAATGTCAATCAGCTGGGCTGTTTTAGAGTCATAGCAGGGAAATAGACCCTTCGGCCCAACCAGTCCGTGCTGACCATAATCCCAAACTAAACTAGACCCACGCGCCTGCTCCTGGCCCATATCCCTCCAAACCTTTCCCTATTCATGTACTTATCCAAATGTCTTTTAAATATAACTGTACCCGCATCCTCTGGAAGTTCATTCCACACACCGTCCGTACAAAAAAGTTGTGTCACTTTCAGATCTGTCTCCTCTCACCTTAAAAATATGCCCCCCACCTAGTTTTAAACTGCCCCACCCTAAGGAAAAGGTCTTGTCATTTATCTATCTACGCTCCCCCCACCCATAATTTTATAAACCTCAATAAGGTCACCCCTCAACCTCCTACGCTCCAGTGAGAAAAGTCCCAGCCTTTCCAGTCTGGTTTCACATCTCAAACCCTCCATTCCCGGCAACATCCTGGTAAGTCTTTTCTGTACCCTCTCTCGTGCAAGAGATTCTCGAGAGTTGCTGGTGTGGCACTCACTGTCGAATTGGAGGGTATTCCAATCCTGAGTTGTTGTTGTATGTGGCGAATGGGCTCTGGGGAGAAGGAAGTCCAGTTACTTTCTCCAAATCCTGAGCAGTGGTTCAAGACGGTGGTTAGTCACCTACTTTATCAAGATTAATGGAAGCCGCATTGCGATAGGTCATGTGCGCCAGACCAAGTAAAGATAACAGACCTTTGAGTACAGGAGTTGGGACGTTATGTTGAGGTTGTACAGGACGTTGGTGAGGCCTCTTCTGGTGCACTGTGTCCAGTTCTGGTCGCCCAGTTATAGGAAGCATATTATTAAACTGGAGAGGGTTCAGAAGAGATTTACCAGGATGTTGCCGGGTTTGGAAGGCTTGAGTTATAAAGAAAGGCTGCAATATTTTTCACTGTAGCATAGGAGGTTGTGAGGCGACCTGATAAAAGTTTATAAAATCATGAGGGGTATAGATAGAGTTAATGGTAGGTGCCTTTTCTCTAGGGTGGGGGATTTCAAGACTAGGGGGCACGCTTTTTAAGGTGAGAGGAGAAAGATTTGAAAAGACATGACGGGCAAATTTTTTACACAGAGGGTGGTTCGTGTGTGGAATGAACTTCCAGAGGAAGTGGTGGATGTGGGTACAGTTACAACGTTTAAAAGGCATTTGGATAAGTACATGAATAGGGAAAGATTTGGAGGGAAATGGGCCAGGAGCGGGCAGGTGGGACTGGTTTAGTTTGGGGATTATGGTCGGCTCGGACTGGTTGGGCCGAAGGGTCTGTTTCGGCACTGTATGAATCTATGATTCTCTGACAGATGAACCTCCCTAAGGGGACATTATTGAACAAGGTGGGTTTTTTTTTTAACGACAATGTGGATACGCAATTGCCATTAAGTTCACTTTTTAACTCCAGATTTTTATGGAAGTCAAATTTCACCGTCAGAGATGGCAGATTCCAACCCTTTAGCCTTTAGCCTCCCAGGAATTAGCTTGGAGTTCTGAAATGCTGGCCCAGAGTCATTGCTACTGATAAAGCTCAATCTTGTCCATCTCGATCCTCCACCAGGTTTTCAACCAGTTTCGCGTATTATGGGTTAGCGATAGACCTGCAACGGTTCGGAGTTGATATTTACCTCATCCAGATCATTTTTGGAGCGGTAGATATTCCAGCAAAGCTTCTTGGCGTTGTGACGTTAAGTTATATAGGCCGACGGTTCACGCAAGGCACCTCTCTCATCCTCGCGGGGAGCATCGTCATCATAAACATCTTCATTCCGAAAGGTAAGGCCTGCACACCTCACACATCTACTCCCTTTCCAACGGGCCTCAGGTCAAACGCCCTCTCCAAGAAGAATGTGGGAGATTTACTTTAATTGGCACCATCATAGCCTCGTGACATTTTAAGTGAGTTTTTGAGAGTCTCACGTGGCGCCAAACCTGACCGAGACGTCTGGCAATGCACAGCAGGATCCCAGGAGTGGTGCCGACAGGATACCTCCCTGCCCAGAAGGGGGCATCTTTCTTTCTCAGGCCCCACGAGAGTTCAAGAGTTGTCCCAGATCAGGCCAGACCAACCTTGTTCTCCCTCTCAGCGCTGACGCTACAACACAAGACTCCATGGGGTGGGGTTCATTCCCTGGGCCTTCTGACTCAATTCCCGCTGCGGGACCTGATGTTGTGCATTTGTGATAGAGGATCAGTGCTGAGCCTGAGGCCTAGTTGCTTCTCTGTGGAGATAAACCAGTGTGTGTGTGGTTGGCATCATTTTGGCAACTAAGTCTCAGGCTCAGCACTGATCCTCTATCACAAACGCACAACATCAGGTCCCGTAGGGAATTGAGTCAGAAGGCCAAGGGAATGAACCCTCCTCCACAGTACGGAAACCTGAGGCCCAGTTGCCTCTCTGTGGAGATATACCAGTGTGTGTGTGTGTGTGTGTGTGTGTGTGTGTGGTTGGCGCCGTTTTGGCAACTAGGCCTCAGGTTTCGGTACTGTCACACCATCTTCTCAACCAAATGCACAATACCAGAGGCGGAATGGGAATTGGGTGAGAGGCCCAAGGAAATGGAGTCTTGTCTTGCAGCACCAGCGTTGACAGGGAGAGCAAGGTTGGTTTGGCCGTCAGACCATTCCAGGCCCATTTGAATGAGCTGCTAAAAGTGAGGTTTCTGAGGCTGAAAGGCTCACCACTCACTCGCTTTGGGTGGCACGGTGGCTCAGTGGTTAGCGGTGCTGCCTCACGGCGCCAGGGACCTGGGTTTGATTCCACCCTCGGGTGACTGTCTGTGTGGAGTTTGCACATTCTCCCCATGTCTGCGTGGGTTTCCTCCCACAATCCAAAAATAGATTGGCTGTGCTAAATTGTTCCATAGTGCCCAGGGATGTGCAGGTTAGGGTGGATTGGCCGTGTTAAATTGTCCCATAGTGCCCAGGGATGTGCAGGTTAGGGTGGATTGACCGTGCTAAATTGCCCCATAGTGCCCAGTGATGTGCAGGTTAGGGTGGATTGGCCGTGCTAAATTGTCCCATAGTGTCCAGGGATGTGCAGGTTAGGGTGGATTGGCCGTGTTAAATTGTCCCATAGTGCCCAGTGATGTGCAGGTTAGGGTGGATTGGCCGTGCTAAATTGCCCCATAGTGCCCAGGAATGTGCAGACTTAGGTGGGTTAGCCATGGGGAAATGAAGGGTTACGGGGAGAGGGTATGGGTGAGGGTCTGGATGGGATGCCCTTTAGAGGGTTGTTGTGGACTCGATGGGCCGAATGGCCTGCTTCCACACTGGAGGGATTCTTCGCTGCTTAGCGACATAGATCCGGGGTTGTCCCATCAGAGTGGGGAGATTCTGGAAACGCTCTCAATTCTGTCCTGTGTTCCAACAAATTCCAACACAAGCCTGAGGGGACAATATATCATTTTACAGCCATGATGGCCCAGTATTGAATTCGACAACTGCGGAAGGTAAAGTCTGTGCTGAATTTTACTGACCCCCATTGTCCTTCAGTGGAGCTGATCCATTTTCCTTTATCAATATCCTCCAATCATTAACACTTACCTTTCCTCTCTATCGTTTCTCTACTGCTACTGGCACCACTTTGGCCTCTTGCTGTGCAGTCACCTCGCTCCTTTACCCCCTTTCTCTGCGGCATCAAACCCATCATGTTTTCTGGATCCTTCCAATTCCGTACCACACTCTGGTTTTCTGTCACACACACACTCGCACTCACACGCGCACATACATGCACGCACACACGCACACACGCACACACGCACACATCACACGCGCACACGCACACACACTCTTACACACACACATTTACACACGCACACACACATTTACACGCGCACTCACACACGCGCACTCACACACGCGCACTCACACACGCGCAC